ATCTTATTTTGTGTTTTTAAGTATTTGGAGTCTTGTGGACTTATTTTGATTTTTCGTTAAGTGAATTAAGTGTTTAAAGATTAGTTTTATTTATTTGAGTCAAGTGTTTAGCACCCCTAGTTAATCCCCAGTTAGAACGATCCATACTTACATCATTACTACAATTGTCACAAATAGGGTTTAATTTATGTGTCACATTCGTAACGCATCAAATTTTGGTTGCATATTTTGTGAAAACTAACATTTTTGCAAGGTTTGGAATGCCACGAGTGCTAATCAGTGATGGAGGTTCCCATTTTTGTAATCGAACCATCGAGGCGTTGCTCAAGAAATACAATGTCACGCATAAGGTGGCCACACCTTATCATCCTCAAACGAGCGGGCAAGCCGAGGTTTCGAATAGGGAAATCAAGAAGATTCTTGAGAAGACCGTGGGGCCTACAAGGAAGGATTGGAATTTGCACTTAAACGATGCATTGTGGGCGTATCGCACTGCCTACAAAATCCCCATTGGGATGTCACCTTTTCGGCTCATCTATGGGAAGCCATGCCATCTTCCTGTCGAGTTAGAGCATCGTGCACATTGGGCCGTCAAAACGTTCAATATGGACCTTGATGCCGCAGGTTTACATAGAAAGCTTCAACTGTGTGAGCTTGATGAAATCCGAAATGAAGCATATGAGAATGCCCGGATTTACAAGGAGAAAACGAAGGCATTCCATGACAAGATGATTCGTGCCAAGACGTTCTCTATTGGGCAGAAAGTGTTGTTGTTCAATTCTCGCCTTCGGTTGTTTCCGGGTAAGTTGCGTTCCAAATGGGTTGGTCCTTTTATTGTCACTAATGTTTTCCCTCATGGTGCAGTGCAAATCAAAAGTTCAAGGACGCAGCAAGAATTCAAAGTGAATGGGCATCGATTGAAGCCCTATTACGAGACGTTTGAGGAGCATGTCGTGGAGGAGGTACCCCTCCATGCCGTGGAACCTAGTCAAGCTTAAACGGAGGTACCGTCCGGCTGGAAGACGTTAAAGCAAGCGCTTCTTGGGAGGCAACCCATGTGTTGAAACACGAGAAGAAGGAACTTTCACTCCATAACCAGATTTACATCCCTAAACCTCTTCTCTTTGTTATTTACATTCTGCCCTGTTTAATGAGTTTAGTCGCTGTTTATGTGTTTGCTTGTGTTTAGTGTGGTTTTAAGCTTAAAACATTGAGGACAATGTTTGATTGAAGTGTGGGGGGGTAACTAAGTATGTTGATGCAAATTCGTTGGATTTTATCACCCATAACTTCAAGTGTTGTTCCTTGCTTTTTAAAATGTTTTCAAGCTGATTTGGAGTGTTTTAGTATGTTTTGTTTTATAACTCCGAAAATCACATAAAAATTTGAAAAACATGTTTTGAAAAGCCTAAAAAGAGTGTTTTGAGTCGTTTTTGTGTGTTTGTGTCTTAGGGTACCTTCCAACACAATGATGAGGATTTGGTTTTTAATTGCATGATTGTTAAGAAAGAGTTATAAACATGGAGAAAAGTTTGATATACTCTTGGTATATGCTTGGTTATGGTTATAATGTATGACTTCACATGCAATCCTAAAAAGAAAAATTAGTTTTTGTAACATGCTTGAAGGAAGGAACTCAAACAAACATTACAACCCTGAGAGACTTGAGCTTTAAACATTCTTTGGAGAGTATTAATCTGTGATTCTTGTTTTCAAACTCGTTGCATGATCTCATTATTTTTGCTTGGTTGCTAATTAGAAGGCGTTTCATCATTTAGTTCCAAATGCTAGAACTTGCATCCATTCCAGTCAAAGCATGATTGCATAATATATATCAAGATGAAGTGTGTAGTGAAACCATCAACCAAACAGCCAACCCATGCACTATATATTTATTGTAGGTCATAACCCCCATTGAGCCATTGTTAGCCTTTGTTTACCCATATCATCCCCACCTAGCCTAGATTAGGACCACCCATACCCTTGTTCTTAAAGCATAGTAAGCATGACTTAGAGGGAATCCTTTCGAATTTGCAAAACAACAAGTGTGGGGGAATTTGTGTGTGTGTATTGATATGCCACGAAAAGAAATAAGGCATGAAAAAAAAAAATATTCGTGGAAAAAGAAAAAGAAAAGAAAAAGTTGTGAAAAGAAAGAAAAAGAGGATGAAATAAGTGAAAATAAGCTCACATGTTTGTGGTAGTTAAAGAAAGGGTCCAAAACGTTGAATATGGCCCTAAGAGTTGTGTGACTTTTCCCCTTCTATGTCTAAGTGAGTTTCTGCAATCATAAGTGATTCTAAGTGTCAAATTTCATTACTTTGCTTGCTATTGCTTAAAGAATGTTTGTTATCCTTACCTTTCATTGTTAGCCAATCACCCTTACCCCGTTACAATCCTTATGCTTCAATCTTGATCATTATGTTTTCAATAATGTGGAGTTTGGAATTGATGTAAGCATATGGTGTCCCTGGTTCTCGCATCTAATTGGTAGCATTCCATTCATGAGATCATATCTAAACATGCTTATTAACTCCAGAAATTGCTTTCTTTGCGATACTTATATGTGAGTGTTCGTTTTCATGTTTACATCAATCTTCTCACATATGACTAGATTAGGGTGTGTAGTTAGAAAATCTGAGTGAAAATTGAGTGCATATCTTGTAAGGAATTGAGCAAATTCTCTAAGGCATGTTACTACATTCAAAACATGGTTTTAAATGCTTAATTGTGAACTAGTATGTGGTGACTATGAGTAAGAATGTACTTAAGTGTGAAGATGACTAAAATCTGTGGAGATAATGAATTTTTAACATGTCATGTGCATTGGAAATCCCTGAGGCAACGTTGGAAGGTTTAGATTGTCTTTTGTTTGTTTTGTTTTGTTTCGTTTTGTTTTGTTTTTCTGTTTTGCTCGAGGACTAGCAAAAGCTAAGTGTAGGGGAATTTGATAGGAGCATATTTATGCGACTTAATTGGCTTGTTCTCGTGCATTTACGTTATGTTTCTTTAGTTATTTTAGTCCTGTATGCCATTTTCGTGTGTTTCTAGGTTCATATGGCTAAGGAAGCAAAAAGGTGCATTTTGGAGCATTTTGGAGCAAAATTGGGCTTAGAATGGATAGCTTATGCTTGGAGCCAAAGTGTTGGACGAAATTGAAGCCTTGTATGCACTTTAGGACATAAAACAAAGGGCCTAGCCCAATCAAACAAAGCCTTAGAACCAGCAAAACCATTCCATACCTCCTTTAACACAACAAAAACAACACCCATTTCAGCACCAACTTCCCCTTTGCCGTGCCTTCCCTTCCAATTCCAGCACCCCCCATCCCTCCAAAACACTACCTTACCATCACACAACCATTCCTCCATACAAATACCACCCCAAAACCTATCCTTAGACCTTGTGCCGCAACAAAGAGGAGGAGAAGGGCCTAAACGTTCATACAATTCAAGTATGAGTTGTTGGAATTTTTAGGTGTTTTCTTTTCCTTGATTTCAATGATTAAATTTACTTATCTTTGTTTTGTACGTATGAGGAACTAAACCCCCCTTGGCTAGGGGGGGATTCGAAATACATGTTTATGCTTGCGATATGATTTGATTACTTTTGGTTGGAATTTCATGAGTTGTGGATTCAATTTGTTTAACTGTTTGATTGATAACTTATTTATGTATGTTTATTGAGAGTGCACGCTTAATTTTCATGCATGAATATGACGCTAGAATATAAGTGAGTTTCACCTAATAGTTATGAACTTATATTCACAAGTAGTGGAGGTTGCTTATAAACAATCGCGTGAAATAAATTCTTGGCATAAGTTTCATGCAATCATAGTAATGAATGCCTCGTCAACACTTATAGTTTTCATGATGCTTAATGATTCTTGCTTGTATCTCTATTATGCAATTCATGTAGGGAACTTGTGGGGAATGCTTTGGGTTGTCGCATGCAATCATCCAATTCATTAACTTAAGGAAAACTTGACGGTTAATTTAAGCAGACCTAATTAACCCGGGGTGTTGAGTTTTATAATTCATCGAAAGACCAACCGAAAATCATCTTGTATGCAAGTGTAACATGTGTGGAGAAGAACCTTTTAGCTAGCATTCATCCATATTATCATCACATTCATATTTACATTTTGCCCTTAATTACAATATGTGCATTTTAGTTTAATTTCATCAAAACCTCAATCCCCTCCATATTTTGTTTAGTCATTACAATCTATCTTATTTTGAGTTTTGCATTCTTTGAGTCTAGTGTAGTGTTTTAAACTTGTTTTTACGTTTTTGAGTCAAATCCAAGTGATTAACAATCCCTCCTAATCCCCGGTCCAGAACGATCCCTACTTACATCATTACTACAATTGTTACAAAGAGGGTTTAATTTGTGTGCGTATAATTCTCGCATCACACTTCCCGGGCTCGCTCCACCACCGTAGCACGATATTGTCCGCTTTGGGCTTACCATTCCCTCACGGTTTTGTTTTTGGGAACTCACGAGCAACTTCCCAATGGGTCACCCATCATGGGATTGCTCTAGCCCCTTCTCGCTTAACTTCGGAGTTCCTACGGAACCCGAAGCCAGTGAGCTCCCAAAAGGCCTCGTGCTAGGTAGGGATAAAAATATACATTTAAGGATCACTCCCTGGGCGATGTGGGATGTCACATATAAGATTAAAAATTTGAATTTTTTTTTATAAAAATTTAATGGTTACAAACTTATTCTTATTTTATTTTTTATATTTGGAAAATGCTTGAATTAAAAATTGATTAGGAGTTTAATAAGGGTGTGAGTATTAAAACTCAAATCAATTACTAATTTTTTTTTTTTAAATTATGTAACTTACTTGTAATTCATCAATATATTAATGCTGGAGACTTTGATTAAAATCTAAAACCTGATAAGATCTTAAGATATTAGACAGTAAAGAGCCAAAACTAATTTTTTCAAAAAAAAAAAAAAAAAAAATTCCTCTATGGTCAATGAGTCGAAAATCACAGCTGCCCTTTCCTGCGAAAACTCTCCCCACTCTCTTCTCTCTGTGTGTGTCTGTAGGAGACGAGTACTAGAAGGACCCTCGGAGGGAGAAATAAGATTTATTGGGGGAAATTAGAAGGGAGCAAAGCAAAATCCAATTGAAATCATCGTAGAAGATAATTGAGAGAGAATTGTTAAATTCTCAACGAACACGAAATGGTTTAAGAAATAGGAAATATTATTGGATCAGAAGAGGATTGAGAGATGGGAAATTTGTTCGTGAAGAAGCCCAAGATCACGGAGGTAGATCGAGCTATTCTTTCTCTCAAGACCCAGAGGCGCAAACTTGCCCAGTACCAACAACAGGTCTTAATCTTAATTCTTAATTCTTATTTTGTACTTGTGGATACTCCTGTCAAACAGAAAATAAATTCTACTTGTCATCTCAAATGGGCTACCAGAAAACGAAGAACTTCATTTAATTTTCTTTGACTGAGGAATTCCCATGTTTTTTTTTTTTTTTTTTTTTTTTTTTGTAATGAGGATGTGAATTTGCGTAGTATTTGTGAATTTTGAATAGAGGGTATTGATCAAGTTGATTTGTATCCCACCTTGCCCAGCTTGAAGCTGTAATCGAAGCCGAAAAGCAAGCCGCACGGGATTTGATTCGTGACAAGAAAAAGGAAAGAGCTTTGTTAGCATTAAAGAAGAAGAAGGCACAAGAAGAATTATTGAAGCAAGTTGATACCTGGGTTATTAATGTTGAGCAACAAGTATGTAATTGCACAACCCTACCCTACTTGTCCATTTTCTTTCTTTCCATTTCCTTTACAACTTGGTCTACTTTAACAAGCAAATAACATGTTCACACTCCTCGAGTAAATGTTTTGGTTCAGTTGCAAGACATCGAACTCACAAGCAAGCAGAAAGCGGTGTTCGAGAGTTTGAAGGCTGGTAATAATGCGATTAAAGCCTTACAAAGTGAGATCAATCTCGACGATGTGCAAAAGCTGATGGATGATACTGATGAAGCTAAAGCTTACCAAGATGTGAGCTTCACTTCTTCTCCTTCATTTTTTGTTTTTATTTATCTAGTATTTCAGCTGAGTTTTTTTGGGTTGCATTCTTAGGATGAGGATCTATATCAAATACTTTCTGGTGATTTGGGAAGATTTTTGATTGTCACATTTCTGATTCCTGTTCTGTGCAAGGCCTTCCCTCTTCCCACCTCCCTCCCTCATTTATATTTGAGAGCTTTCCATCTTTTTTCTTATGGTAAACGGAGGAGCGGAAGTGCTTGGAATTTTGTTGTTGTTTTTATTATAAATCAATTGCGAGAAAATGTTTACCTCTGAGTTGAGTTTGTAAAGATTGGCGATCTTGTAAGGTTTATACAAGTTCCTTTCCTATTAACAAGTTTACTTTTCAACCCCCACCCATCCCTCTTGTTTGACACTAGATTCCCAATATAACTATTTCTGCTGTGATCTCGTAAGAAATTATGTCTCTGTTTCTCACATCATTTGTGTGTATTCTTGTATGTTTTTCTCGTCATTGTAAACAATGATTAGTTAACATCTAAACCTTCTCTTCTTCCTTGATTATCATCTTCTCCTCAGTTTTTCCTTTTTAATAAATTCTACCATTTCGCTCATGATTTTGTTAGGAAATTAATGCAATCTTGGGGGAGAAATTATCAGCAGAAGACGAAGAGGATATTATAGCAGAATTAGAGAATTTGGAAGCTCAGGTATGATATTTCTATTCTAACAACAGGTCCACAAACCCTAATGATTGTTTTGCTTCCTCATTGTCATTTTTTCCCTTCTGGGTATTTTTTATACAGCAAATCTGTTACTAGTGATTAACATACAATGCATTAATGCTCTCTGAGATTAATAAAAATCCTCATGCTGTATCTAGGATTATTGTGTCAAAATCATTTTTTAATACTTATCAACATGTTGAAAAGTTATTTTCTCTTAGGTGCTCTTCATTTATCCCATTACCAATATTGCTATTACTAATTTAGTTTTCATGCAATGCATGGTATCCGGTTCTTGTAAGAACAATGCAATTTGGTGTCTCATCATCCCTTCTCCAGCAGTGTTACTGCTAGATTTCTAGGATAGAAAATTGGTAGATATGCCACTACCTTATCCCACTTGCTTTGGACTTCCAACTGGGGTAAGATATATTCTGACCCTTAGATGTAAAACATTCGAAGGTGAAAAATGCTTCAGAAACAGAAAAATGTTTGCTTCGTTGACTTCTTGGGAACATGAACTTGTTGCACAGCGTAAAGGGCAGGTTTTTGTCCCTCTCTGACCTTTCATTTAACCTTTCCTTCTCCTTCATTTAACAATCAATCTTATGTAGGCACCCATTAAAATTATGATTTTGAACTTAGATATAAGTAAATATGAAATTTCTTCTTTTAACATTTTCTCAACTTCTTGTTCTTACTGGTTTTCCCTTTTAGTTTTATGTTTTGTTGTACGGTTACCTTTTGGTTTTCCCTTTTAGTATTTTTGCTGGTTTTAATAGTATATGTTTTGTTGTGTGGTTACCTTTTGGTTTTCCCTTATGTTTGTTTCTTATTCTTGTTAGTTTTACTATTCTGGTGTCACATAATTTCATCTCATCTAAAAGTGAAACTTCACTCCTTTGTCAGATCACCGTTCAAGATATGCCTATAGCTCCTGTTTCAGTGCTATCTCCTAAAGAAAACGAGAGGTTGGACCTTCCCGATGTACCAATCAAAGTACCAGTTGCACCTGATCTGGTTGCGAATGATGAAATTTCCACTAAGACAAAAGGTCGGTCTCTGTCTCTGTCTCTGTCTCTCTCTCTCTCTCTCTTTCTCTCACACACACACACAGAGAACAAGAACCCCACAAACACAATGCTAACTGCTCGTTGCTCATGTTAACTCAACTGCAAATGCTTGACAATATTTTGGGATATGCAGTTATGGAGGAACCATTGGTGGCTTGATTAGATTAAACAGTTGAATTAGGTTGCCTTCTTGTCAGACTGTTTTCAAACGTCAATCGATGCTTCTCCCTTCTGCAACCACGCATGTACCAGTAAAAATTATTTTCTCTGGACAACTTTGATTGTTTTCTTTCTTGATTACCTGAATTGGATTGTACAAATATGTAATTTTTCAGGACTCAGTCCAAGGACTCATTGCTCCAACATATATTTACTTCTTTTCGACATCAGTCTTTCTTCATGGAACGAACGGAAACAAGAATGTGAATGCTCTGGGTTGAAACTTGTTTGTTGTAGTGCTATATATGTTACTTTGAGAAATTATTAATTGTGTTTTCTAGAAAATTTTAATTTCCTAATTATTAGATGAGAGTTTCAAGAATTTGATACAACTACTAACCATTTATGATATTAGCTGTTCTGATGATAAGATGAATGTTCTGAGTGAATTCCTTTTTATTATTTACTATTTTTTTTAAGTCGTCCAATTCTGTTATTGACAGAAAACAAACACATTGACTTACCAATAAATTGACAAAAAAGGAACATGGGAAAGCAAAGTTGCCAAAGAATCAAAAGTAGCAATCCAACCAGGAAACCTCGGAAGAATCTGACTGCATTTCCAATCATCGGATTGATTTCGCCGCTTTCCCTGCATTCGACTTGATCACTGCACTCGTAGATATCACGGCTTTGCCTAGCAATGGCACCTCTTAGACTGAATCCGGATCCTCATCGGATCCTCTTTGTGAGGATCCTGGGGATCCGTTAATCCTGTTCATCGTACATCGTGCAGTCAGAAATTATTTTAAATATTTTTATTTAAAATTAAACACAAACATTACTTGACCAAAACTAACCATACGATGTACAATTAACGAACACAAATCACGAATCCCCAGGATCCTTACCAAAAGGATCCGGAGAGGATCCTGTTGGTCCTAGACCTACTGATGGTTTATCGAAATCATCATGTCATATCTCCTCCATGTCTCGCTTGTATACTATATGAAGGTCACAATATTTTTCCTCCAAGCTAGAATGTGTCTACTCTACATTTCCACCACTGACCTGCACTCGTTGCAAACCTGCCGCGCGATAGGTAGTACAGCCAAAGGTGATCTGAGTCGATCCATGTGTCTTTTGGTGAAGGGAAGAACAAGGCCAGGGCTCATTGTACCCATTTTTTTCGATGCTTTGCTTTTTGCAAGGAATTACAGCATTTTACATATGTGCCAATGCCACCTGATTGTAATTACAACCAAAACTAATGACTGGACTGGCCACTTAATATTACAGTCTAGTGGTATTCTTCTTCACTTGTAAGTGAGAGGTCTTAGGTTTGATTCTCACCAAAGGCGAATTTGAACCACATTATTGTTAGCCCATTGTGAGACTAAGCATACACCCTCTCCCTTTAGTACAGATAATATCGTTTGTTAAAAAAAAAAAAAAAAAAAATTAATGGTTGGACTGGAGAGCACAAACACAATTCACATCCCCTCCATCGTTGACTATGAGCTCAAGCTTGCCAAACTTATAAGAGGACGAGTCTTGCCACATTCTCAGTCTCAAAAGCAGCATTCACATGGTACAAATGCTGACCATAATCAGTATTTATTTAAAGGATCAAGGATATTTTATTCAACCCAATTAGGCATTGACAATCTACTTAGATCAGTACTTGTTATGTCTTCTCTCTTAAGAGAGTGACTGGTCTCTAGTCGTTGGTGTGATTGATACTGTTGGGGGACTTTTAGGTCGAGGTGGACTCGGGCTTTGAGAACGTCCTCTTGTCTCCCTTGGTTCAGTTTCGTATGAAGTCCCAGAATATCTCGAAAGAGTTAGCTTGTATTAGGAAATATTCCAGATAGATCAATGAGTCGAAGATAACATGATTAAGTAAATAATGGCTTGCTCAAGTGAGGTATGGTGTAGAAGCTAGAAGTTCATCAGTTTAGCATGTTGAGAGAGAGAAAGTTGGCATGGTTGCATGGTGTTCTCTGGTAGATAATCTGGGTCTCCTAGGGTGGCAGCAAGGCTTACTATGGCTGGAATACTCAGAGGGAGGTTATGGAGAATGCCAAGTTGCAGAGTGATGTTTTTGGGCTTCTTTTGTTCTTTGTGTGAAGCTGGAGGACTAGGGATCAAGAGGCTTTCCTTGATTGAAAGGGTTGAAGGAAGTCTGGGGGAAAACTCCAAGATTGCAAAAAGATGGTTATGTGTTTCCCTCCTTAAAGTTTGAACCTTTTTGTATTATGATGTTCTGGGCTGAGTTCTTGGATTCCCTATAATGGCTTCTGACTCCCCTTTTTGTAGGTGAATGACTCATTTCTAGGGCTTTCCTAGGGAATCTCTAATTGTGGTTTGGTTCTCCCTCCCTTTTCTCCCTAGTTCTTCTACTACTCCCCTATTTTAGTGTAAGAAGGCTAGATTGTAGAACCTGCATTGTTCTTCTTTCCAAGGTGAAGATTTCTCGGGTCAGCTTTTCGCAGTTGCTACTTTTGGTAGAGCGCATCATGGCATTCACACGTTGGTTCTCTGCGTGAGCTAGGAAGGGAAAGTCTGCTTCTTTCTTCATTAAAAGCATGCCTGGCTAGGCTTTTACGTGACTAGGGCTTAGTTCCTCCTCAACGAAGTTGGTTAGCTGCTAGGGAAAAGAGGAAATTAGGTTAGTTCTCTCTCAAACTTACCCGCGTGGAAGGCAAAGGTTATGAGCTTGGACTTTTGGACTCCCAAGCAACCCAAAGTCTTCCACAATCTTGATCCACGTAGGCCCAATGAACTTCCGTAACCATCCACACCACAATTCACTTGACAATCCCTGAGCATGTGACTTGGGCTTATTTTAATGTGATCGGGTCTAATTACTGTAGCATGGGGTTGTACATATAATTCTTCCTCGATCCCACACCTTTGCATGTATTTGGGCTTGAATAGAGGCTTGCATGACAATTGGGCTTCGAGGCTTGGTTGGGCTTGCTCATGACATTTTGGGGTCTCAATAGATACAAAGACAAGTATGTAAGTGATTAATAGAGAATGAGTCCACTGGATGCGATCGATTGATAAGCTCATATTTATATAAATTTTACATCAAATTCACTTGTCTTTTCGTAGTTAGTTCCGTATATTTTTGAGCTATTTACTTTGTTTTTGTGTTTTGTAGGATTTGTCAAGCAAAGAAAAGAAAAATAGCAAAAGTGGAATTTTAAGTAACAAATTCGTCAAAACTGCCTGTGCAGGTCAGCTGACTTTGGAAGCAAGTTTCTGACAGCTCAGAATGACTTAGAGAATGTGCCTTATATGTTTAGAAAGCTACGGATGTCTATTTTCTGGAGCATTTCGCGGAATGTTAATATCAGTTTTCTAGAAGAAGTTACGGCCATTTTAACACTGAAAGGTTCCCAAGAGATTGAGCAGTTTGTAACTGACAAGAAAGCATTGAAAGCAATAAATCCAATAAATCTAGCAGCCAAAACTGATGCAATCAAGAACAAACGAGTTGACACCTATTCAAATATCAGAGGAAATAGAATTAAAGATGAGGATTAAGAGGGAGTAATTGGCATAAAGGCTACCCAAGGAGTTACAATTGTTTTACCATTTCCTCTCACTTATTGTCATCACTAAATGGCTATTAGTGGGTGAGTTAAGGAGAAGAAAATGATGCAGCAAGAATTGATTTAAAAGCAGCGTTAGGGAAGGAAGGAAAGGAGATGAGGCCTCAGTCAATTTCTTTCGGTTCTATTTTCTCAAACTCATGTCTATCTTTTGTTTTAACTTAAGGATTGTGTAACTAAATTTTTAGTAGTTAGGGGCTGTTTTGAAGCCCCGAATATGATTGCAAGTTTGTTCTGACATTTCGTTTGAATTACTTTTATGAATGGATGAAAATTGGTTCACTACTTGTCTCATTGACGAATTCTTTATGTGTTTTCTATGGATGCATACTTAGTACTATGGATGCATACTTAGTAAGCATATCTAGGATTCTAATGCTATGAATATGTGTGTGCCTACCCTTGTCGAATGAGGACCTACATATGTTCTAGAGTAGTACTTGTTAATTGCGATTAACATGTGAATCAATTTCTAGGATAAGTAAGACAACGCTAGTACTTACGATGCCTTGTGATGACTCAAACTCTTTTCGTTCTTAATGATTTCTAATTGTTAAATCTATGAACACGCCATTCTAGATTGCATGTTAGAGACTAAGTTAAGTTGAAAACGCCATTCTCTTAACATACCACATAAGAAAGAGTAATAGGTTGAGTTCTAATATTGAGCCAACTTGAGCATCTTCATCCGGAAATAGAAGGAATTTGAATGAAACATAACATTTTTGCATGATTATTTGGTGGTGGATAGCAATTCCCCTAACTCGTTTTCTTAGCTTGTGAACTACAATCTCTTTTTATTATTTAAAATCTGTTTCTATTATGTTTTTGTTCGATTTAATTTAAATAGCAAATCAACTCCAAAAATGTGACATCCCACATTGCCCAGGGGAGTGATCCTTATATGTATATTCCCATCCCTACCTAGCACAAGGCCTTTTGGAAGCTCACTGGCTTCGGGTTCCGTAGGAACTCCGAAGTTAAGCGAGAAGGGGGCTAGAGCAATCCCATGATGGGTGACCTACTGGGAAGTTGCTCGTGAGTTCCCAAAAATAAAACCGTGAGGGAATGGTAAGCCCAAAGTGGACAATATTGTGCTACGGTGGTGGAGTGGGCCCGGGAAGTGATCCGTCCCAGGCCGGGATGTGACAATTGGTATCAGAGCCTAACCCTGGCCGTGGTGTGCCGACGAGGACGTCGGGCCCCTAAGGGGGGTGGATTGTGACATCCCACATCGCCTAGGGGAGTGATCCTTATATGTATATTCCCATCCCTACCTAGCACGAGGCTTTTTGAGAACTCACGAGCAACTTCCCAGTGGGTCACCCATTATAGGATTGCTCTAGCCCCCTTCTCGCTTAACTTCGGAGTTCCTATGGAACCCGAAGCCAGTGAGCTCCCAAAAGGCCTCGTGCTAGGTAGGGATGGGAATATACATATAAGGATCACTCCCCTGGGCGATGTGGGATGTCACAATCCACCCCCCTTGGGGGCTCGACGTCCTCGTCGGCACACCACGGCCAGGGTTAGGCTTTGATACTAATTGTCACATCCCGGCCCGAGACGGATCACTTCCCGGGCCCGCTCCACCATCGTAGCACGATATTGTCTGCTTTGGGCTTACCATTCGTGCAGTCCGGAAGCTAAGAAATAATAATAAAAGAACGAATAAAAAACAAACCTAGCTATACACAAAGTAAATAACATACATGTGCAAGCGTAAGTGTGAAAAACAAAGTTCA